TCACTTTAAAATTATGTAGATAAAAAACCAAGGGGGAAAAAACAATACTTCACTACACTACACTACACTTTTTCACTACGTAGTGGTGTTATAGTGACTTTGTAGTGGTCACGTAGTGGATGTGTAGCGGAGTGTTATGTGTTACTCGAAATAGTGGTGCAAGGATAGATTGATCTTGCGCATTGATGTCAAGGTTGCATTTCTCATCTGACAGAAGACTTCTATTACTATTCATTTTAATATAATTATGAATCTTTATATATAATTATGATTATGATCACTAATAGCTAAAGGAAACACTTGAAAGAGTTTTTCTCCGTCGACAATAACTTGTTCAGTGGAGTATGGTAATGTTTCATTCGTCAAATAACTTTTTCATTTTCTTGTCCTAGTTTTGCAAGAACATCAACTCCATTATCTTAAACTTATAAGATAATCTTAATTAAGCAACAAGCATGTCAACGACTACAACAACAGCAGTAGCAGCAACAATACTGGATTCTGGTGATAATGCATGGGTAGGCAAAGCGGTTGTATTCTTTCTGCCTCCTTATGAAAACATCATAGAGTGATCTCGAAGTATTAAACATAGATAGGGGATATCTGCAGTGTTACTTCAACTTGCATTCGTTGTATATCTAGGCATCCTTTCTAAATTTATACTAACATGATGCTTATCTTTGTTAGATGATGACGTCTACCGCCCTCGTCTACATGATGACTCCTGCATTAGCCTTTTTTTATGGCGGTCTCGTCGAAAACAAGAATGTTCTCAATCAACTTTTCCTCTCTATCATCTGCATGGGTATTGTCACCGTCCAATGGTGCTTGTTTGGGTATTCATTCGCTTTTGGGCCGGGTAATAGTGCTTTTGGGTCGTTTCAATATGGTGCACTCCGTTATCCCGATCAGACAAATCTGTACGGCCAAGATCCTCATCCAGTTCAATCACCTACATTTCCAGTTCTCAGTTTTCAAGCGTACCAAGCAGCGTTTGCCGTTATTACACCTGCGCTGTTCAGTGGAGCCATTGTCGGACGAGTAAAACTTGTGCCTTACATGATCTTCATATTTCTCTGGTCAACATGCTGTTATGATCCTTTGGCACGATGGGTTTTCGCAACTGAGGTGAGTCTCTTCACATAGTCAGAACAAGAACAGTTTGTATTTATTAATTTTCAGGGCTGGTTACATCAATATGGCGCGCTTGATTTCGCCGGTGGGACAGTTGTACATATCTCGTCAGGCGTCTCTGCTCTGACAGCCGCCCTTATCCTCGGAAAACGACACGATTATGATCCGACAAAAGAGATAATGGGCCACAACCTACCATTTACAGTCCTAGGTACCGGTTTATTATGGATAGGATGGATGGGCTTCAACGGAGGATCCGCCACAGCTGCTAACGGTTAGTCAGACCGTTAAAATAAATTACATTTTATCTGATCAAATCATTTTCTCGTGCTTTTAGGTCTGGCTTCGCTAGCACTGACCAACACGAATACAGCCGCAGCTTCTGCTCTGCTTACTTGGGTGATCATTGATGCTGTACGTGGAACTGTCACAATATCTGGTGCATGTTCGGGAATTGTCGTTGGTCTCGTTGTCGTCACACCTGCTGCGGGATTTATCCAGCCGGGTTGGGCACTTCTCATGGGCATGATTGGATCGATTTTTATCTACTTTGCATGTCAACTGAAGAAGAAATATTTTCATTTTGATGACACACTCGATGTATTTACGTGCCATGGCCTTGGCGGCATGATGGGCGCATTGTTAACTGGTCTTTTCTGTCAAATACAAGTCAATCCCGCGGGTTTTGACGGGGCATTCTACGGTAATCCGTTTCAACTGTGGCGGCAACTGTGTGGTGTCCTTACTACAATTGCTTTTGCAGCAGCTTGTACAGCCGGCATTTTATTACCAATGCATTTCCTATTTGGCATTAAATTAAATCCTGAAGACCAAGCCGTTGGTGTAGATCGTGCCACTCATGGAGAATATTGGCATATGGCACCTGGCTCAACGGCACATCGCAAGAATGACCAAGAAGGTATCGGCAAGGTGAACATCACAAGAGCAGAAAATGGTAATACCAACAGAGTTGCAATCGTCGAAGAGTTATTAGTCTAAGGAACAAACAAACTGGGAGTCGCGAAAGATATTGATTAGCCTGTTTTGCTTAAACAGCCTTACCCCTCCCCTCTTAAGCTTCTCTGTTTGAATCGGCCTTTTTTTAATGCGAAGCGGTTCTTTTTATATCTTTGCTCTTTCTGTTTAGTCCTCATGTTAATCCTCCTATAAGAACATAATATATTTATTCAACTGAAATTGAAATTCATCTTTTAGATGTTTATACATACAATGAAGTTGATGAAAATGTAAGATGCTCTTCCCATATACAATCAATTTAAAGATTAATAACAGGCTAAATGCATGCTTGAAGACTTCTTCATGCCTGTTTTCTGAATCCATACTGTTTGATTCCACATCAAGGATTTTACTAGCTTTTCAAAAGTCCAGACCCTTTTCAAGCTAAAAGTATATTCAACCCGATCGATCCACTCTTCCAGAAAGCTAAGAGCCGGCAACACTTTGCCATATATTAAACGAAGGATGATTATTATTCAATTGAGATGCTTTCGGCATAAAGTGAGATGTCACCAAATAGTAACTGCGTAAGAGCTAGAAGTGCAGCTAGCAGTACATCCAAGCAACTTCGTAGTTTGCCTATGGTTGTTATAATTGTACGTTGTCACAGCGATTGTTTTGCGACTTCTATTTCCTTTCTCGGGTATACCCATTCGGATTAGACTAGATCTTCATGTTTGTGTACTCAGGCGACTCAACGTACTACCTGTTATAGAGACATACAGATCTAACCTAACACGTTAAATCAGTTATATATTTTTAGAAGTTGATAGATGCCTTGCTGTTTTCCAAAAATCTTGAATGAGTTACAATTGCCTATGTTTTGTAGAGGTTACAATCTGTACAGTATACTACTGTTGAAGTTCATTTTTTATAATTCACACTTCCATTACACCAATAGTTTGTATTAATTCTATTAATCAAATTACCTGTTAGACTTTATTTATTCCAAAGGCTTTTTAAATTAGTTGCGTCGTTGCTACTTTGCTTAATAAATTGTTTCTTGTGATCAGAGAGCAAGACAGAAAGTTTCTCCATTTTCTTCTTCCTTCACTGATTCACCTCTATTTAATATTTGTGAAACATTTTCATGATGAAAAGCGAAAAAATAATTGTTTTACTCAGTGTATATGCAATGTGTCAAGTTAAATGCAAGAGAATTTTATACTCAACAGAGAGGAACGTACGGTTTTCTGATAAATCGTACTATTCTAGAGTATTAACCAGTGCTGTATCAATCATTAGACGCTTTAGCTTTTTCTTGCTGTTCTGTTTGTCACTCGTCGGCTTTTTGAAAAGTATCAAACTCAATTTCCTTTAAAGAACTTTGATATTTATACATTAATTAATAAGACGGTAACGCAATGATAGAACGAAGATAATAGTAAAGTCTGGATTTACAGTACTAAATTATCACTTTAAAATTATGTAGATAAAAAACCAAGGGGGAAAAAACAATACTTCACTACACTACACTACACTTTTTCACTACGTAGTGGTGTTATAGTGACTTTGTAGTGGTCACGTAGTGGATGTGTAGTGAGTGGATGTGTGGTGGGCTGTAGTAGGGGTATAGTGAGGTGTAGTGTATAATCCCTTGTAATGGAGTGTAGTATTGTTTTTTTCCCTCTTGAGATAAACACCAGTCACACTTATCATTATCTAGTGGTAGTGTTTATTATAGCGAAGTAAAAGGTGCCTTGAGGAAACAAATGGATTATCGAGAGCGAATTGACGTTTGCTTTATGCCAAGTGTCTACTTGAACGGGCATCTCAAAACTAATTCTCAATGCTTCTTTTTCAATAATCTACAAGAATAACTTCCTGTGATATGTGTTATTCAATAAATAGTGCAGCAAGGATCGATTGATCTTGCATACATTGATGTCAAGGCTGCATTCGTCATCCGATAGAAGACTTCTATTACTATTCATTTTAATATATGCATAGTTACTGGAAAAAAGTGGATAAAACTTTACCATGAATTTTCGTGGACGCCGGGTATAAAGTTAATTTCTACGGTTGGTCTAGAAGTTGACTATTCTGTTAGACTTATACGTTCACACAGAACTATTGGGCTTTTAAACTTGTATAAATAGGAGAATTTCTTCTGTTGTTTGGCATCTAACAGAGCAAAATACCTGCAAATAAATTTCACATTTCCTAATTATCTTATACCAGTAGTCTACACGTAAGACATATCTCTTGGCAGCAAGAGAAAACAACAATTGATTTCTGTAATCATCCAATGATGACAGTTATCCATCAACAAGCAAACCACAAAAGATTAATAGAGATTCACATTTATAATAAAAAATACTGTGCGGATGACTTACCAAGAACCTCTGACTATTCAATTGAATCCCATAGCGCAATATTCAGACTGACCATATGTTATCGCATCGCATACTCTCATGCACCACAAACGCAAGCAAGCAAACTGAATCGTTGGTCCAGTTCGGGCTTAATCATTTTTTCAAACTTTTATCGTCGTCGTTATTTAAATTTCTTTTTTCTCCTATGTGGGCCCGGCCTTATAGCACACTTTTTAAGCATAATTTTTAAAAAGAGTAACACATGTGCGTGTATATATCGTAATAGTAATATTGAAAAAATGCAAATTTCTTTGTTCATTTATGTTAAAAGTTGAATCGATTAACGTGGATATACGTGGATCGATCAACGTGAATCAAAGTCGAATACAAAAACACAATTTCAAATCCGAGCTCTTCAAAAGAATATCCAGCCCAAGTCGAAGTGCACCAGAAAATCTTCCAGTCGGAATTCGGATTAGTCCAGCCCTGGTATGAACTCCACTGATCGGAGCGTTCCTTCGGTAGAACGTATCTACTGGAAAGTACTCAGAATTCTTTATGAGTAAATAGCCCTTTTCTGTCTGGATTTATGAAAATAGATGGCTAGTGAGTCTCTTACATATTTTCTTCTGTATGAACCTTTTCTCTATTTCTGTTTCTCGCGTTTTACTTTTTTCTTAGAAAAATTCATATCACCCTTTAATTCCTATTTATAGTTTCATCAAATGAAGAACACAAATTTTGTCTTTATCTGCATTGAAAATGTCAATTGAATAAGCTGCACATTCAAAATTTGAATTCTTCCATACTTCTTGGATGTCATATTTATAAACATAGCTTTTGATAGCATTACTGTAAGTAGTTGAACGGTTATACTATATGTGATGCACCAGAAATAATGTCCCTCTCTGCATTTTCTCAGTGTCTCACGAGAGAACATCCCGAGATGCCCACTTCCGATTCAAATGCTTTGTACATAGACCAATAGTCCTCAGTGAGGTAGTAAATATCCTAAAAGGATTCGGGCTCATGACTTTTGAAGGCCTGATTTTTCGAGAACTCTAAAAAAAATTTAAACCTTTTCTTAATGAGGCATGATTGTGGCCTGCAAATTTCTGATTAAAATGAGATGTCTCCAGCTAGATACGACCTTTCTTTGCAAAGTTATAGAATTTACAAGAAAAACCCTAAATACTCATCGTCAGCGCAAAGCTACAGAAACAGGAAAAAATTAATTTAGAGCTTTCATGTAAATTGTATAACTTTGCTTTGCAACGAAAGGTCGTGTAGAGCTGGGAGACATCTCAGTTTAATCAGAAATTTGCAGACCACAATCATGTCTCATTAAGAAAAGGTTTTAGTTATTTTTTTTAGAGTTTCCGAAAAACTGATTTTCCAAAGAAAACCAGATCTTCAAAAGTCATGGGCCCGAATCATTTTAGGGTATTTACTACCTCATTGAGGTCTATCGATCCATATACAAAGCATTTGAATAGAAAGTGGGCATCTCGGGAGGTTCCCTAGTCAGTCAAGATTGATCGTCAAGTCTCAATCTTTATTTTAGAAGAATTCCTATTCAGTTCTATACAAAATCACCAGTTTATATTAACATAAATAATTTCCATCATTTTTGAAACGCTCAACAAACGAGTAGTCCAAGAATTATAACTTTCAAAAAAACAACAACTTTCTGTCCAACGTTTTTACTGCACGTTTTAATTCTTCAATCAAAGCTATTTTTATGTTACTTTAAGCCGATTTATAGCCTCAACAAGTTCATTCCAAATGCAATAGTTGAAAGGGTTCAAATTAGACTATTTGAAGGTCAATGATCTTTGTCTAGAAATGCAGGAAACTTTATCCCGATGCCATTGTCGAGTTAGATGATCTTTGTGAGGGCCCGTACCGTTGTGCTGAAATGTCCTGTCATCTCCGAAGACCTTATTATCATATTTGAGACCCATCGGAAGCACTTTTTGTATATATCGAGCATGATTTAGTGTTCCTTTATCCAAAATCACCGATGACATTACATTAGTTGACCATGGTTCCAACCTAACCATAATGTTTTGTGTAAACTGTTTTTGTTTAATATAACCATTCTTATCAGCTTCGGTACGGTTCTATATTCGATTGGTTTGCGAATTGTAACCACCATCAATGTCGAACATTTTTTTTCATCCGAAAAAAAGAATTTTGATTGTTTGCTCATTTCGAAAATTTGTTCGGACCTATTTCGCAAACTTTTTTATTTTGATCTTGTGAGCATCCGTGAGAACTGGTTCGATTATTTTCTTGTACGGATGATAGCCCCAGATCATTTTTGTATATTCTTCTCACACTTGTTTAGGAAATATCCACTTTACTTGACAATTTTCTAACTAATACCAGATTTTTCCGTTTCATTTGACTCTTTATCTTTTGAATTATTGCCGGCGTTCGAATAAGGCGTGGGCGACCTGCCAGTTGGATTGAACCGGTTTACTGATTATTTTGCACCATCTTTTGACCGCTTTAAAACACAAACCCCACTATCAAGTACATAGTTTTACAGAGAATTGAATGGGGAATCTTTTTAAAAAAATTGAGACTTGGCGATTAATCGTGATATTAACCTAGATATTAATAAAATACGGAGAGGGACATTGCTTCTAATTCACCCGTTACAATATTTCTGAAAAAATTTTGAAATCTTTTTTATAAAGGATTGTCTCCATCAAAAGGCTTTTTGACATAAAATATGGAGATCATTTCAAAGATCGTGAAAATACGTGTGAGATTGCCGGAAATTTTTATACGGATCAGTTTTCGCAACATCAGAAGAGAGTGGAGCTTACAATATCTATACACTTTTCTACTATAGATCATAAACTCAACAGAATTCCCGATTAATTTCACGATAGTTCTCAACACTAGATAAATGGAACAAGGCGCAATTTCGATTATATGACCACTTTCTTTCTACTCTGCCTGTATGAAATGTGTTCAGCTGGAACTGGAACTTTATTTTCAATTATAGTTTCTACTGGGAAATATTTAGACATAGTGGATAGTGCTATTAAAAGAATGACACTCGATTTAAACGTAAACTAAAATACAAGAAAATCGACCTTTTTGTCAGTTGAATAAATTCGTTACCACTACTTTCATATCATGTAATGACATAAAACGTCCGTTTAATCATTTAAAAACAAAAAGTGAAACTCGAAAGCTTGTGAACTTTTAAAAAAGTTCACAGATGACCACGTATCTGACGTTACAATTGCACGATCTCAATGTTGTGAAACTTCGAAAGAATTTCCTCACGGACAATATTACCAGCCATTAATATTCCTATAACTAAAAAATAAAAAAGATTAACTAAACTATACAAAAAAAGTCTTTTCTTTTGCAAATATTTTACTTGTCCTTTTGCCTGGTAACCAAGTGAGTATGACTACAAATTGATTAACTTTTTCGGTAGAATGACGGTACTTAAACGGTTTAATATTTCCATATCCCACACTATATAGCTGAAAAACAAATTAAAATAAAAATTATTTTACGATTTATGTGGTATTTTTACTCTTTACGTGTACGTAATCTGCTGTGAAAGACTGACTACACAATTTTAATATTTAACTGCAGTCAACTGACAGGAGGAAAAAAAATATTTTACATAGTTATAGCTTGAACATTTGATGATACTACACAAAATTTCTGTTGACTATGTTCATTTTTTTGTTCAAATATATGGAATAATATGAAACAATAAAATATTCTTTACATAATAGTCTAATTTCTTTTTTAGTGTAGTGAGAGACACATTATAGGTTCAAAAACACAAAACTGACTTTATCTTTTCACCCCTTGATGGAATATTTGAAGAATGTGTGTACTTATATGACATCGTTGTTTTTCTTCACAATGAAAGATATGTTCTTATTTGTTAAAAATTAAGTTACTTAGTGATATAATTTTCTAGTAAATTTAAATCATAAATTTAATGTTTTTTGTTGTATTCTATTTTTTAAAACCATCAACTATAACTCTCAAGTATTATTTTTTTATTCTCAAAAATGACCTTCGGCAGTAGTTGACTGGCATCAATTGACCAGAATAAGTCTTGTAAGAATATTCTTTCAATTGTGTCGTAATTTACGTAGGTGCTTAATCAACCACAGGCAGAAAATAGTATATAACTGCACGTGTCTTCAAGAACAAAGAATGACGATAATAACACTTTTTTCTCTTGTTCTGTTCCTTTTTACAACTAAAAAAATGTCTGACGATTCATATTTTTCTTACAACTTCTTAAAAAAAAACTGAAATATATGTGAAATCTCTAATATAAAAAGTAGTGATTGTTAACTACATATTAAAGTTTTAAAACTCCTTTCTTTATCTTCAGATTTATGAAACGTAGTTAGTGTATAATAAAGAATTCATTGTAATTAATGGCAACTGTCAGCGTAACTCCTCACGATGAACAGTACGTACCTTTCAAAATTGAGCTGACATTCATCTTATTGACGACATATTTTATTTCTTCCGTTTTTAGAACATTACCAGTCAAAATGTACACGTGTAATTGTGGAAAAGAATTTCGTGAACAGAGAACATTTGAACAGCATCAGGTTAATAAATATTATATTTCATTGATTTTCAAATTAAAATATTCATTTTTTTAGAGCAATGATTGTAAAAATCAAAACGTAGAATGTTCATTTTGTCGTGAATCAGTACCAACAACAGATATTCGTGAACATTTGTTAACATGTGGAAATAAAACTAAAGTAACATAATGAATTTTCATTTCTAACTTTATCTTTGTTTGTTTTCTCTTCTCCTAGTTATGTGATAAATGCAACAGATATATTCTTCGTGGAATATTTAGTTACCATTACGAAAATGATTGTCAAAATCCGGATGATGAAAATGAAGAATCTGCACTGCCATCCTCACGAGTCATAGAAAATCAAAGATCTGAGAATGACCATCGTTCGACTGATAATCAAACACTACGTTCACATAGACTCATTAATGATCGACCACAGAGTTTGTCTTCGTCACAAATACGACAAGAACAACGATTAGTTGATAATCATACAGAAATGGAATCAAGTGCTATTAATCGAACGTTTAACTCACATTCGCAAACAGATACGCCTGATAACCTTGCTGGTAATCAAACACTACGTTCACATAGACTCGTTAATGATCGACCACAGAGCTTGTCTTCGGCACAAATACGACAAGAACAACGGTTATTTGATAATCATACAGAAATGGAATTAAGTGCTGTTAATCGAACGTTTAACTCACATTCGCAAACAGATACGCCTGATAACCTTGCTGGTATATCGTCAAATCGACAGCAACAACAAACTGCTGGTGATTAAACAATATTAATTAGAGAATAAGACGTTTTTTATTGTTTACTTGATTTCTAGATACGCAAATTAATGATATACACAACGATAATGATCGAAGAATTACGTGTGAATACTGTCTCCAACCGTGTTCATTCAAAGATTACGAACATCATAAGGTATTGAATTTCTTCTTTTTAATTAAATTATTATTGATTATACATTATCATTCTAGAGACACTGCTTAAGAAATTCGGACGCAAATATAAGGAATCGAAAACCCACAGATCATACAGATAGTAGACAAGATGAGACTAATGTTTTTCTTATTTCGACATTTGTATTTTGACACTGTTTTAGAAGTAGTCACTATGGACGACAATGTTCAGATTCCGTGCGAATATTGTGAGAAATTAATTAACATAAATGAACTTCAAGATCATACAGTAAGAATTCTTGATAATGACAAGACATATAATAATTGTTCAGCTATTTTAGAATCGGTGTGCTGATTCATATAAACAACATATACAAGATAGACAACGGCATGTATCGTCGTCTCATATTTGACTTTCTTCTTTATATTTAATTTTTTCCTTCACAGTCTTATTACTCAAGAAAATATTAATGAAAAATTACCCTGTGAATATTGTAAAAAAATGTGTGATGCCGACGAATTACTCAGTCATCAGGTATGTTTAATAGACTATTCATTTTTTCGTTTGAATACTACTATATTTTTATAGACTGAATGTGTCATGAATTTAAATGATATTGTAAATCGATCTTCGCATCAACAATTTCGAACAACAAGAGATTCAAGCCCAAGGAACGTATCGAGTAAGTGTTCTTCTTTTTTCATGAGAACAGAGTACGGGTTACATAACTTTTGGTCCAAACCTGCGGATCTGGTCCCAAAGTCCTTCACGACTTTTGGCCCGAGTTTAAACTTCTCCAGGACTTTCGGTTCGGATCCAAGTTTTCTCCTAGTCTCTGTCGGGATAAAGCGTAATAAAGTCTAGTACTCGGCAGGACGGTAAAGTGCTGGTAAAGTCTGTTTGATGTGAGTGCACACGAATTCTGTAACGTATTTTCAAATTTCGGTCATATGTCGAAAGACATTGTTCAGGCAAGTAATGACTCTCTCATAAGACAATAGCACTCCTAAAGCGATCAAAGCAGACTGTTGAGCACTGCGTTTTCATCTAAATGCGTACTGCTGAGCATTACGCAGTAAGCCAACTATTTATAGAAATACAGCTAGGCACCGGATCGGCGGTTCGGAGGGAACTTGGACCGGGATCGAAAGTACGACAAGAAGTTAGATCCGGGCCGAAGACTTTGGACCCTGAACAGAAAGTCTGGGCCGAAAATTCCAGTTTCCTTACAGTACTACGAGTGTCTCCTCTATTTTCGAAATCTATGACAAATTAAACTGAAGATACTTCTATTTTATTATCAGCATCAGCGAGTCGACATCCGATCTCACCACAAAATCGTAGCACAGATGAATATGCTTTACTAAATTATCTCCCTGCATCCAAAAACAGACGTGATCGAATCGATGTAACAGATAACAGTTTATCACTTTCAAACAGAAATAGAACACAATATTCGAGTAGCGAGTTTGATGGTACCAACGAAGCGAATAAATATTCAAGTTTGACAACACCGACTACAGCGATAACTACGCCAAACGTTGACAATTATCATGATTTTAGCAATTCTCAGTACAGTTATCGATCACACAGCATCCCGTTGAGAACACATGATATAAATGAGAAGTCTGTTTATCGATCATACAATTCTCGAAGTATCTATGACTTGTCACGAGAACGAGAAACTAGTGTAGACTCATTTCGATATAGAACCTACAATGCCACTTATCCAACGTCTAACTATATTGGTGGTTATAATAGATCTCTCTTAAATCAATCTCGAAATAATAACTATCTATCAAATAATTTTTTAAATGAACGTTTGACAAAAAGTGCTTATGATAAACCGCTCACCACTATCACACGTCGGCCCTTTATGTCTGCATATGATAATATACATCCGAAATTACCTTATTCGTACGGCTACCATTACACCAGACCTCTGACAACAACAACAGATCGACACGCATATGATTTACCATCTCGTAGCTATCATGACTCGTACGATAATATCAGACATGTTCCAAGAATAAACGATAGAGTTCTGCCTAATTATCGTCTGTCATCGCCCGTTCCACAATATGTCCCAAGTACTTTGTTTTCTTTGAATATAACATTCTTCTTACATCTTCTTCTTGAATATTTTAGGAGATTCCCTTTATTATTCAATGAAAAGTAGAGATCAATCTGCTTACATAAATAATGTCAGTATAATAGTGCCAAATTTTAGTGTATAATCTTCCGCTCATCTGTTATAGTTATCCTCAAGAATGATTTCAAATATATTACCAACAACAAGAAACTTATCGTAAGTATTAGAATTCATACGTCTTACACAGGGAGAATTAGTCAAAATCTATTTGATAATTGAAGAAATTTAATAAGAACTTTTTTTCGTTTCTTCTTACTTAATAGCACAGTATCCTTCTTCTTAGGTTGATTTATCAACATCGTGATAGATTACGAAATCGTTATAATTAATGAAACAAGGAAACTAAGTGAGCTACTTATTTTTCTCACATACATAGACTTAAGACAAATTCTTTTGTTTTCATAAATACCATATAATTTTGATGTTTGTCTACTTATAAATGGAACATTTTTGACAGATTTGTATATTGGACGACGAACATAAACTATTTTCATCGTATATAACCTCGACGGTGCATAGATATTTATCTATGTGTTTAACAGTGTGTTTAACTGCTTCTTGTTTACTTTCAATCTGATATATTTTCGTGAATTTAACAAAAAATATAAAAGTATTTATTTTTTCTATACTATTTCCTTTTCCGAAACAACAATTCATAAATAGGACTGAAACATGTGTATTCCCTCTTAATTTGAAAGAAAGATGATACTTCTAGCTTTAAAATAAATTATATTGCTTCTGATCTAATCAGATGTTTGTGATAATTGAATCATATTCACTTTTCTATTTGTTAAATTTTTAAAAACACTATTTTTCAATTTAAAACACGAGCTTTCGGACTTTTGAAAATTTCCTCGGTTGCCGCACGTAGAATTTTACGCTGAACAACTTTTGTTCCAACACTTGTCTTCCAAAATGCTTCCCTGAAGCTAAATTTTGCTCAAGCCCAGTGCCGATTTTAGGCTCCATGACTCTGAAAAACTAACCTCGAAAATTAGGTTAGTCTTTGAAAAAATAGGATATTCTGGATTTTGACTATAACAACTAGTAGTAATTTAGCATTACTACATTATGTTTTTATATCATTACCATTTCGGGTCCGATTTTGTGTATAACACTGCATTTCATTTACCATTCTACAATAAGTCAAAATTATATCTATATTATTATTCTTAATTACCGTTTTGAGAATTAATCATATAACGACACACCATGTTCTAAAGCTATTGAAGCAAATCAACGTGAAGCTGGCGAATCAGATATCATTAAACACACAATAGATGACTGAAAAGAAAAGAAGAAACGAAGAGTGAGAAATGGAAAAATGTAATATTAAATTATTATAAGTTAATATAGTAGATGTAAACTTTGGAATGTAAATAGTTACATGAATGTTAACGTCGATCTTGAACTTTTCTTTTTTTTGGCTGGACATGTTCTGTTACTACAAATGGATTCATATGTGTAACGTTGTAATTCGTTGGTGACATGATCACAATGCTTCCGATTCTTCCGGCTCAAAATAATTTAAGCAAATATCGATTTTCAAGTTGTTTATTCATACATTCAAATTCTTTGTCATCCATGTCCTCCCAAAATAGTGACGAAAATGAAGGAACTTGATCAGGTCTGATAAAACTGCTAGAAATCCATTATCGGATTCTAAGAGATTATTTATAACCGGCTTCGGCTTGTCTTTTGAACTGGACACGAAACAACACACAACAAATGTAGATTTAAGGAAATAAAAACGAATTTGGAATGTAAACTATGAAGATTACATCGACCTGTTGATGGAATAACTGAATAACATAGATTCTCACCTTTAAAGAATTCGTTGCTCGTCGATTATGTAACTGAGTATCGACGGCTTTTTCCACATGTGTATTTTTCGCCCAAATTAATTCCAATCCACTTGTAATAATGGGCTGTTCAATAACGTTTGCGTCAGTTTGCTACCTGTCTTTTTACACAATGACAGCAAAGGTCTGAAACATTTTACTTCTCACAAATACCATTCGAATAAATACGAAGAAGTAATCGAGTGAACAAGTTGACGTAAAAACAAACGACAAATTTTGTTCACTTATGTAACCCTAAAAAATGAACAGATACGTAGGGAAGTTGGAAGCCTATTCGATAAATTCTGTAGAATTTTATTTCATCTCTTCAGATTTAATCAGAGAATATTTTCTTTTATACGACAGTATTCAAAAACCAGAGCTTTCTAGAAAGTCTACATCCGATAGAGCTACTATTCTTTGACAGTACCATCGGAAAGAGTGCTATCAAAAACCCTTAAAACCGGAGATTTAGCTCAATCTAAGCGGCGTTTACTGTTTCAGTTTTCTCATGCAATACGACTATTGTCGGATTCAAAAAATAAGATACCCAACGCCTCTTTGAATAACTCGGCAATGTGAAGGGATATCGAGAAACGGCTTTCTCTGACTTATAGCTAAGTCCAGCACACATCGAACTATGGCAGGAAAAAAAATTTCATTGGATCTCCATGTGTTAGCCAGAAGGATCTTTGGGAAACCAGTCGGAATATCTGGAAACTGAGATATGAATCTATCTGTTTTTTTCTATAGATAGATAGTCCAATGTGTCCTCTCCAATATGAGAATTAAGCGAACTTTCAATTTTTTCTGGTTAGGTTTGACACCGAATTTCTTGAGAGTCCTAAGATCGTTGTCTCTTTAGATGTGATAATTCCGAAAACGAATGGAAATATATATAACCAACCACGCTGAGTCTCGTGGCAACATCTGTTTTTCAAATAAGCTTCAAAAACCTGGTGAAAACCTATATTAGTTGAAATAACCCAATTTTGCCTGTTTTTGAGTAAAGTTAAAAAATTTATAACCCAGTCACGATCCATCCAAATTATGTCAGAATATCAAGATATACTCTATTTTACCTGCTCAGTACGATTATTTAATGGAGAATAGTAAGAAACACTTTTGTAGAACGGAAGATTTCTAGAAAACGTTTTCAAAAACTAAAGTCTTTTCTGTTGATTTGTGAAGCTTTTATTGAACTGCATAGTATTGAGCAGGTAAAATAGAGTATATCTTGATATTCTGACATAATCTGGATGGATTGTGATTGGGTTATAAATTTTTTAATTTTACTCAAAAACAGGGAAAATTGGGTTATTTTAACTAATATAGGTTTTCACTCGGTTGCATTTTGTTCTGAAAACTAATATTGCCACGAGATTCAGCATAGCCGATAACCTATGTTTTCATTCATTTCTGACAGTCCCAAGCCTAACGGCAGAGGAGTACTAACGCTTCAGGAAAAACGTCCGTATCTCCTAAACTACAGATTTCTACACACTAGTCGATAATCAGCCAGGTCTGAATAGCTGAATCAGCTTTTCAGTGTTTTCATCTCTGAATCGGAGTCTGAATCAGCTCTGAAAAAATTGAAAATTATTTTTCACAAAAACACTTGTTCTTATCTTTTTTTTCTCACGGATTTCGAGCTGGATATCCTGATCAGTACTTTCAGGGCCGATTCAGTTCATCTAATGATCCTGAGTGATAATAAGGTTTCATTGTGTTCATTTCACACTAATAAGTCGATATGAACTAGACATGTTCACGCGACAAAAGTTAGATATCTTTCCGTCTTAATTTATTTATAATAGTTTATTGTCAAAGCGAACATAACACCCAAAAGCTCCGTTGCACTGTTCTTTTGTAACTCACTCGAGCAGTAACAGCTTTATTAGTAGTTTGGATAGTAGATGTCGAAGTATTGTTACTATTTTATTTTCTATAAAAGAGTATTGGTTTTTATCGTTTCGAAAAAACCGTTACATTAGACCTTAAAGACAGACAACCATTTTGTAAGACACTAGACTAAAGTCAAGGGAATAAAACAGACATTAAAACAAAAAATACATTAAAAAACACATCGAGTAAAGAAAAACGGTATCGAGAAAAAATTTGACGTTTACAGGAGCTTTTTTCTTCGAATAACTGATTCAGACCTGAAAAATCTCGAATCGACATTTTCAGAAAATTCAGCTCTGGTTTTTTCGTTCTTTTTGCTTGATCAACAAAAGCTTCAAGTAATAACTGAGTCAGTTTTCTGTGGTTTACGCTGAAAATGTACTGCCCCGCTGGATCTTTACTGCCATATACTACAATAGTATTCTCAGTAATGGTCACAGCGCTTCGCTGCAAAAGTGTAACAAGGGTTATAACAGGAAGCCAATCAATATTTTCTGTATGGAAAAATCCGCTGATGAGTTGATCTGCAGAAAGACTTTCTAGATAATTTAAATCATGTTTTTTCACGCAAAAGCTGGAAACACCATCCAAACCTACCCAGCTCACTACCGACTCAGAAATGGAAACTCCTACAGCAACTTTAGCACTCTTTCTAACACAGCCATCAGTACCACGAAGTGCATCCAACAGTCCTATCATCCTGTCGTTAATCGATGCTTTTTCACCAATTTTCGTGAGAGCCTTGCATGCACAACATCTGATACTCTCCTTCATCACTAAGTACAGTGACTAGCGCTCTGATTACTTCAGCAGTTGCTGCCTTCTCACCTACTTTTCCCAGAGCCACACATGCATTCATTCTGACATATTCATCCTCATCACCCAGTATAGTCACTAATGCTGTAATCACTTCATCAGTTGCTGCCTTCTCACCTATTTTCGCGAGAGCCTCACATGCACTGATTCTGACACACCCCTTGTCATGACAAAGTATAGTGACCAGTGCTCTCATCACTCCAGCAGTTGCTGCTTTTCCCCCCATTTTTCCGAGAGCCTCACATGCATTCATTCTGACATACCTATCCCCATCACCGAGTGCAGTGACTAGTGCTTTAACTACTTCAACAGTTGCTGCTCTTTTACCCATTTCTTCGAGAGCCTTGCACGCCCACCGTCTGACACTCTCCTTCTCATCACCAAGTACAATGACTAGTGCACTAATCACTTCAACAGTTACTGCTTTTTCATTCATTTTACCGAGAGCCTCACACGCACACCGTCTGACACTCTCCTTCGCATCACCAAGTACAATGACTAGTGCACTAATCACTTCAGTAGTTGCCGCTTTTTCACCAATTTCCGCGAGAGCTTCGCATGCACACCATCTGACGCTATCATCCTCATCACCAAGTATAGTGACTAATGCTCTAATCACTTCATCAGTTGCTGCTCTTTCATTCATCTTTCCGAGAGCCTTACATGAATTAATTTTGACATCCGCATTCTCATCACGAAGTGCAATGATTAGTGCTCTAATCACTTCATCAGCTGCTGCCTTGTCACCAATTTCCGCGAGAGCTTCACATGCACACCATCTGACGCTATCATCCTCATCACCAAGTATAGTGACCAATGCTCTAATCACTTCATCAGTTGCTGCCTTCTCACCTATTTTCGCGAGAGCCTCACATGCACTGATTCTGACACACCCCTTGTCATGACAAAGTATAGTGACTAGTGCTCTCATCACTCCAGCAGTTGCTGCTTTTCCCCCCATTTTTCCGAGAGCCTTACATGCATTCATTCTGACATATTCGTCTTTATCACCAAGTATAGTGACTAGTTCTCTAATCACTTCAGTAGTTGCTGCTTTTTCACCAATTTTCCCGAGAGTCTTTGCAGAAATAATTTTGACATCGGCATTCTCATCACCAAGTATAGTACCGAATGCTCTAATCACTTCAGTAGTTGGTGCTTTTTCGCCCATTTCTTCGAGAGCCTTGCATGCCCATCGTCTGACGATCTCGTTCTCATCACCAAGTGCAGTGACTAGTTCTCTAAACACTTCAGTAATTGCTGCCTTGTCACGCATTTCCCCAAGAGTCTCACATGCATTCATTCTGACATACTCAACCTCATCACCAAGTGCAGTGACTAGTGCTCTAATCACTTGCGCAGTTGGTGCTTTACCACTAATTTTCCCGAGAGCTTTGCATGTACACCATCTGACGCTCTCCTTGTCATCACCAAGTGCAGTGACTAGTGCTCTAATCACTTCAGTAGTTGCTGCTTTTTCACCCAGTTTCCCGAGAGCCTCACATACATTCATCCTTACATCCTTATTCACATCAAGAAGTGCAGTGCTCAGTGAATGAAACAGCTCAGGCTGAGATTTTGTAAGGGATAGTTTTGAAATCAAGTTACACACATTCTTTCTCACGTTTGGTTCGTTGTTTTGAAGCAGCTGAATCAGTGTGGCTATTACTCTTGGTTCATGTACCAACGTTGCGCTCCTTCTCAATGAATCTGTCAGCTGTTTACGTATCACAGGGTATTCAGTAGACACAGCGTATTTCAACCATCTTGTTATGTAAGTGATCAACTCGGCTCGACAAGGAACATTTGGATTATCACTACTCTCCTCAGTGCAAGAAATAACTAGTTGTATGTGCCTTATACCAACTACATCCAACGGCTCTCCTAGTATAGTGTCCCAGAATGTGTCTATCCATAATTCAGAATTACTCTCAGTCACAAGACCGCATACAAAACTAAGCACTAATGCAAAACGTTGATTGTACTTCTCGCGTTTGATAAACTTGTTTGCTTCTTGGCGTGAAGGATCCTTGAGAATAGCAACCAAATATCGTGCTGCGAAATATTCCTGAAAACTCAGGTGAACAAAATAATAGTCTTTGTCCGCTTCGATTTGATTGCCAACAGGCTGATGGTTGAACGATTTTAGAATACCTATGTGAAGTAAGCGTGGGTGGTGCTGTAACGAGCATTTTGTCTCCGTCAATGTTTCTTTTAGCAATGTGGGTCGTATAATTATAGTATTGCTTTTCATTGCATTAAATGCGATGCTTTCTAAGAATGCCAGTTCTTTGTGACAATAATTATAAACATCCTGTTTAGTCATTTGAGTTGTTTGAATGTTTTGTTGATTTTTCATATATCTTCGAAATAGCCATTCTGTAATCTTGTCATATAGCTGTGTCATTGTCAGTTCTTTAGTCTCCGACCAATCCGTGTCAGCCCATAGACTACAAATCAGTTCTAGGTTTACTGGAATATGTGCAATACCCCAAATACTAGGGTTCAGTTTTAAGAAGTTCAATAGATTCTGACCTTTGGACAATGCATCGTTTAACTCATCTTTAATCTGGTCGAAGAACTGTTTTACGTACTCAGCGATATTATCATCTGCAAAACCTGTAATTGTCATTTGCACAGCGTATGACAACGTATTCGAGTATGGGCGAGACGTCAAGATATGGTGCGGAGTGTCAAGTAATTGCTTGAATAAATATTGCAGATGTGCTGGTACATTTTGCACGATTTCATCATAGCCATCTAAAAGCCACATAACTTCACTTTTATCAAACTGTTCTCTCAAGAAAGTTTTATCTTTATCAGAAAGATTATGGCAGAAACATTCCTTTTCAACGAGGTCAATTAGAGAATAATTAATGCCAGATAGCAATAGTGGATAGTTACTTTCTGTCAAACATCGTAACGGAATCAAGAAAACCAGTTTATATTGTTGCCAAATTGCGCCGGTTGCCCATTGATAAGCAGCGTACCGACAAAATGTTGTTTTGCCGATTCCAGCTCGCCCAAACACAAGCACGTTTTTCGTTTGATCCTTGCAAATTCCAAAAATGTCCTTAACATTGATCAGAGACTTTGCGCTGTGGATCTCTTCGAATGTACCGATGATCGCATCACTGTGCTGAGCATCACGAAGCTTCTTTTCTTTTTCTTGTTGTTCTTTGATATCTACTATAGCTAAATTAATGTAGCTCTGTTCGATTGGAAAAGATTTTGCTGGATTCACTAACCGGTCAATCCGAGAATATCGTTTATGCTGGTGTCGTATCAGGTCAAACAAGTTATTGGGTTCAGAAATTGATGCATCATATTCTTCAAACTCTATTTCAATTAAAACGGATGGATTTGTTATTGGATCATGTCGTTTTACACTAGTAACCTTAAATGTTGCAAACGGTGTAATTAATACTTCTTCTTCTTCTGGAACAATCGACATTAGTTCAATATTGAGAGCAGTACGAATATTTCTGATTTTGTACTGACACATTACTGGTTTTTGAATGGGTGTTTGCTCGAGTGTTTTCCGTAAACTACTCTGTGCTTCTGCACCACTAAAGATTTCTGCAACCTTTCGATTTTTCGATGTAGATAGAAACGTTAGATTCATTATTTGACAACCAATTTGATACTGGTTGAGGTCATTCTCGGTCATTAACATTCCACGATATGTTATACCGATGAAATGATAATTGATAAAATCTGGATGATGTACAAGTAGAGCAACGATGTTTTTTAGACAATTAACGAGCCGATAATGCTCTATAAAGACAGGATTCGGATCGAAATAAACCAACAAATATTTTGCTAAATGTTTATTAAGAACTTTATGAAAATTTGTTGCTGGTGATGTATAAGCTTTAATAAGATAGCGAATAATATCTTGTTGCTGAAAGGCTTGTGTAAAATCATATTCAATTTCTTTTATATTTGCATCTGATAAGCCTTCACTTTTTCTCAGATATTCTTTAATATAATAATTGATGATTTCAACTAATAAGTCTCGTGTTGCAAAATGATCATATCTTTTCAACGAGTCTGTAACGGTTCTGAAATGATCACGTTCTTTTACTAAGTCGGCACTTGCACGTACCCATTTAATATAATCAGCATCATCACGGTTTCCGGTAAAGGAATGTGCAGTATTTATTTGTCGAAAACAATCTTTTGTCGCTTCAGTTCGAGCTTCTTCAAATGGTGTTAATCCATATTTATTTGTTACTGAACGAAATGCACCGTTTTTCAGCAATAATTTTACAATGTCATTATGTCCTTTGTGCGAAGCAATATGTAAAGCAGTACTTCCACTTGGATGTAGGTTTTCATTAATTATATTATTAATATTTGCTGATTTAATATAACGCATTACGTCTTCAATATTATTGTTTTCGCAAGCGTGATACAAGTCAGCAGATGTCAGTTCTTCTGAATCAATGTCCACGGCTTTCATTGGCTAAAATACAAAGTTTGTTATAAACCATAAAATTGATTTGTCAAAAAACAGACAATAAAGTGTACGACAAAAAAAATTTTTAACTCGATCGGTTGAAATTTAAGAGGGGTCGTAGTATGATCCAACGAAGCGCGGTAGCAAAAAAACAGTTTTCGAGAAAAAATGCATTTTGTGCGCAGGCCACTTTTTGCATCACATTTACCACGAGTAGGAAAGTTTAGGACATTTGTTTTTTCTTTTTTGTAGAGAGCATCCAAAAAGGTTCACACTGTGATATAAGTAGCTGGAATCTTGGTCGATAAGATCCATAGAATAAGAACTTTGCTTAGAATGACGTTAACCGAGCGATCCAGCTAGCTCCAACCGCCCACTTAACTGACCGGTTAAGCTAGTTTCTGGTATCAAATAGATTAAACACAGGAAGATTATCAGCTAGGTTAACCGCTCACTTAACCTACCGATCCAGCTAGCTCTATCTGATCTAGCTCCAACCGCCCACTTAACCGACCGATTAAGCTAGTTTCTGGTATCAAATAGATTAAACACAGGGAGGTTATCAACTAGGTTAACCGCCTACTTAACCGACCGATGGATCTAGGTCCAGCCGGGCAATTAACCGACCGGTTCAACTAGTTGCAGACATATAATGGATTAGATAAGGTTATCAAGTAGATTAATCTACAGGTAAGCCGGGCGGTTGGAGTGTCCAGTTAACCGGGTAGCTTAAAAAATAAGAAGAAGGAATATGTGCATAACGAGAATCGTAAGATGTAAACGTCGTTTCTTTCTATACATGGCTCACGTTTGGTTACGAAACGAGACAAAATGAGTAATGCTATTCTGTGTTCTTTCACTACTTTCACGTTCATGAATGTGAAAGTTTTATTTCATATGCTTTAAAAATGTGTCGATACATTTCACTCAGTATGTGAAAGGATGAGTCATGATTTTGGCAGAAGAAGGTAATAGCAAAGACAGACGCTATACTCGA